GCTGGCTGAGGAATTCTGGGAGTTGAAGTCCACAAGTCTTAAAGTTGCCAAGGTTGGACACCCCTGCTTTAAAGCATAGGATTGTCATTCAACAGATTAAATAATAATCCAACATAAAGTTTATGAAAAAGATTTACAAGATAAAAGGATCCATGGCAATTTATATTATAGGCTTAATTTAAATTTGAGTACCTACCCATTACAACCAATGACTTTGTTATAAAGGTAAGAAGGCAGACCTTTAAGGTGAGCGTTGTTATCCACATAAACATACTGCAGTTCCCGGGAACGACCTAAATCTGGATTTAAGAAACATTAAAAAGAAAATTAGTAATTACCTTCCTGACAGACACGTTTAAACGGACACACATACACACACCTTCCTGGTGTGTCAGTGAACATGCCTACCACCTGAGCACACTAGAAAAACCCTTTTATTATATAAATGGAAACCGTATAATAACCAGACAGGTTCTGCAATGAAAATTATCCCCTAATTTCCACGTTTCTGTCTGGGAATATATGCAAATAGCTTCTTTCGCAAGAAATAACAGAAGTCTCATTAAATGGCTGGGAAAAGAACAATGCAGAGTTCCAATTTTCTTATGTGATTTTTTTTTTTTCAAGAAGGCTGCCAAGACTAAGGAGGGCTGTTTCATTCCAAGAAAAACAATGACATGACTCAGAATAAAAGAACACTCCTCTGCATTTCTCTTTGTGTGTTTGTGCGTGCATGAACCTGTGAATGAGACGAAACAATTTGATTTACAACGTTGTTTTTTTCTTAGCTCCAGGAGATGCAGTTTGCTTCACTGAGACCAGCCAAAAAAGTACAGACAGTCCTCCACTTACGACCACAAGGGAGTCCAAAATTTCCGTGGCTAAGTTGTTAAGTGAAGTTTGCCCCATTTTGACCATTCTTGCCAAGGTTGTTAAGTGAATCACCACAGCTGTTTAAGTTAACGACACGGTTGTTAAGTGAAACAGATGGGAAATCAAAAGCCTTGGAAGTTCATCAGAACTTAATTTGCAAAGTTGCGATGTACCTCCCTAACTGAAGCTGCGCTTTTATTTCTTTCTAAGCTAGTGTTTTACGGTTGGCATAAATTTAATTTTGCCATTAAAACTTTCAAGTGTTACAAGATTTCTAAAAATGTTCCCTAAGCTGTGAAACGGTGGCCTAAACCCATTTTAAAAATAAACAACAAATAGTTGGGTCCCCCCCCCCCCCGCGATGGTCCTTCTTTCAGTCTTTCAGCCATTGAGAACCATGGTATACTGTATATATCTGTTAGTATCAACACATCCATTGTATCTTTGCTTGTTCCTTTCTCATGAAAACTCCCCCATGACTTAAAAGCCGAGCCAAATCACAAAAAGACTACCTCAATGTTAGAAATGTTCAATCTCAGTAGTGCTCTTGTGGCTCTTCTCCTTAAAGCTTTAAACTTCTGCAACAAAGATCGGGAAAATGCACCATAGGACGAATGGTTGAGGGAGCTAGGTAGGTCTAGCTCAGTGATGGCGAACCTTTGGCATGTGTACCAGAGGTGGCACGTAGAGCCCTCTCAGTGGGTATGCACACCATCACCAGCTGCTCTTCTGGTTTCTGGCACGTTGGCCAGCTGGTCTTTGTGGGTGCCAGAGCACCAGAAAAACAGCCAAAAAACACACTGTTCTTGGGCCGTTTTCAGGCCGTTTTTTGGGCCATTTTCAGGCTGTTTTTCAGGCCATTTTCAGGCTGTTTTTGGCATGGAAAATGGCCGGAAAATGGCCCAGAAAACGGCCCAAAAATGATCAAAAACCAGTCCATTTTCCAGGCAGTTTTCAGGCTATTTTCCGGGCCGTTGGCAGACCATTTTTGGTGTGAAGAATGGCCTGAAAACAGCCTGGAAAACAGCCTGAAAACTGCCTGGAAAATGGACTGGTTTTTGGTCATTTCTGGGCCATTTTCTGGGCTATTTTTGTTTTCATGCCAAAAACAGCCTTAAAAATGCCCCCCAAAATGGCCTGAGAACAGTGTATTTTTTGGCCGTTTTTTCTGGCTGTTTTCTGGTGCTCTGGCGCCCGCAAAGACCAGCTGGCCGGCGTGCCAGAAACCAGGAGAGCAGCTGGGGATGGTGTGCAATGCCCACTGAGAGGGCTCTATGCGCTACCTCTGGCACACGTGCCATAGGTTCGCCATCACTGGTCTAGCCTATCAAACAGAAGAATTAGAGAGGACAGGATAACTGTCTCCCAATACTTGAGGACAGAGAAGAGATGGACTTAGCCTCCAAAGCACCAGAGGGCAGGACAAGAAGTCATGAGTGGAAGAATATGCAAGAGAGATCAACCTAGAAGCAAGGAGAAATTTTTTGATCATGAGAATAGTTAATCCATGGCATAGCTTGCCTCCTGGAGGCACCACTACAGGTTTTCAAGAAGAGATTTGTCTGGGATAGTATACTCCCTTGAGCAGGGAGTTGACCTTTTAGGTCCCTTCCAGCCCTATGATTGTATAATCACGTGAGAAACACTAAAAAAAACAAAACCCTTTTCCCAAAACATGTTCCTTTCAGACTTTGTAGAAGAAGGAAGGTAGCATCTGAAGTCACAAAAGGAAGTTTGCATGTGGCTTTTTTTTTTTTTTAAAAAAAAGCAGTACAGTTTGTCTGCAACATTTCCATTTTTCTCCTCTTAGTGTGGGAGATCAAAGACGTTCTACTTGGACAAACTCCACGAATCCTAAACAAACACCAATTCAACTATACTTTTTAAAAAATTGTCCTGAAGGCACTGGCATCTGCATTCCACGTGGCCGGACATGGAACAAATGGTCTTATGTGTCTGCCTTGGGTTTTTTAAAATTTTTAACCTACTGTGAAAGTAGAAAATCTATGTGTTCAGAGACAGCAAAGGAAGCGATGTTAACAAATGCAAAGGTTCATTTTATGTGTGCATGATTTTTTTTTTTTAAAGGAAGAGAATTAATACACACTCATCCTCAAAACATATGGGCTGGCATAGCAATATCTTAAACTAGGGTGGGCGACTGCAAAAGCTGCAGGTGGTCCTTAGCACATTTGCAGTCACAGAGCTTTCCAAGAACACGCTGCTAAAATTTGGCAGCAAACTGGCCAGATTCTTGATGCTGTGATTCTGGTTTTTGTTTTGCTTTGCTTTTCCTCCAAAATGAGGGCGAAAGTAAGGGAGGCATACTGTAGGAAAAAGCACTCGAATTCCCACCTTAGAGTGACCATTAGGACTTATAGAAATTATGCTGCCAAATTCTGTTATACACTGAATTTCAGCAGAATTTCTTAAGCTGCCTAAGGTTATGTGTGTGTGTGTGTGTTAAGAGGTGAAAATAGAAACACTTTCTTCATATAAGCTTTCCTCTTCCTTATCATCTTTAACTTCTGGGAAACAGGCCACACAAATTCAGCTTTATTTAACAGAATAACAGAGTTGGAAGGGACCTTAGAGGTCTTCTAGTCCAACCTCCTGCACAAGCAGGAGACCCTATACCATTTCAGACAAATGGTTGTCCAATCTCTTCTTAAAAACTTCTAGTGTTGGAGCATTCACAACTTCTGGAGGCAAGTAGTTCCACTGGTTGATTGTTCTCACTGTTAGGAAATTTCTCCTTAGTTCTAGGTTGGAACTAGGTTGGAATTTCATCCTGTCATTTCAGATCCTTCAAGTGTCATAAAACCACCTGGTTGTGGGAAAAATCTACAGTCCCTTATCTTTAGAAAATCCCTATTTGTTAAACCGTGCTGTATTGAATATAAAGTACCGGTTGGATTCTCACAGCTTGCTATGCCACAAACACCAGTTTATCAGCAATATTGGTTGGGTTTATTTGCATAAAGTGAGAAGCTAAAAACTGATATTGCTCATCATTGGTGTAAGGATGTAGGAGGCACCCTGAAAGGCTGAAAACCACATCTCAAAAGTGGCATTCTCAGTGAAATTGGCAAACTGTGAACTTGGGTTAAGCTAACAGTTCATTAAAAAATCAGCTAATGGAGAGTAATTTTTCTGGTTTTTCCCCCCTGTTTTGTTTAACCTGATCTGGGGATTCAGCCAAAGAGTGCGGATTGTAACCTCAACATTAGCCCATCGAATTGTTGGGTTCATATAAGGAAATTTTGGTTTAGCCTAATGCATAAACCCAAACTATGTAAAACTGGAAGACTTTGATTAGTTATCTATCAGATACTTTTTGTTTTCTAATATAAAAACGGTCTCATTTGTCCCCTTTCGTAGCTAGTCCCTCTGCCCATATATCTTAGAATTTAATTCCCCAACAGCCAAAGCAGCACTCACCAAGAGGCAAGAATGCAAGCTGGTTTCCCGCCATGGACAACTCATTGAGGCTGGGAAGCTGGCAAAGATGGCGAGGGACATACCAGAGATGATTCTGGTCAGCAGTGAGGTACTGAAGAGAGAGGCACATGTGCAGCTTTTCAGGCAAGGTTATCAAATGATTGGTTGAGATGTCCAGCGTCTGCAGCTCTTTAAGGTCTCCAAGCTCTGCAAACACAAGGACAAAAAGCAACCAAAAGACATCACATTTAATATTTTATGAGAATAAGGGAGTTGGAAGGCACCTTGGAGGTCTTCTAGTCCAACCCCCTGTTCAAGCAGGAGACCCTATACCATTCCAGACAAGTGGCTGTCCAGTCTCTTCTTAAACACCTCCAGTGATGGAGCACCCACAACTTCTGAAGGCAAGCCATTCCATTTTCATTATCAGGAAATTTCTCCTTAGTTGTGGGTTGCTTCTCTCCCTCATGAGTTTCCATCCATTGCTTCTTGTCCTGCCTTTAAGTACTTTGGAGAATGGGTTGACCCCTCTTCCTTGTGGCAGCCCCTCAAATATTGTAATCCAAATTCAATTCAAAATCCAATTCAAAGTTTTAAAAATACCATTTATATATATATATAAATATATATATATATATATTATAGGAGTTGCAGCAGCATCCTTTGAATGTATCACCAAACACCACAGGAGGATTTGCTGTTGCTAAGGCACAAGTTGTGATTGACCTATGTTATTATTACTACGAAACGCCTGAATTATCTGACGTGACCTGCATAAATCAGGAATCTGGTAGCATCTTTTCAAGCTACCAAATTTTATTAAAAAGGCTAAACTTTTGTGAGCATGAAAGCTTCGCATTTTAACCAAATGTAATACTATCAGATTTCTCCTGGTTTTTGGATATTATAGTTTAATATGGCTCTCCTCCTACAAGGTTCACACAAGCTGGTAAGACTTTTTATTCATGGATAGCCTTTATGAAGCTATTGGGATTCTGAGCCATGGTAGTGCAGTAGTGAGAGTGCAGTACTGCAGGCTACTTCTGCTGTCTGCCGGCTGCCTGCAATTTGACAGTTCGAATCTCACCAGGCTCAAGGTTGGCTCAGCCTTCCATCCTTCCGAGATTGGTAAAATGAGGACTCAAATTGTTGGGGGGCAATGGGCTGACTCTAAACCGCTTAGAGACGGATGTAAAGCACTGTGAAGTGGTATATAAGTCGAAGTGCTATTGCTGTTATATTCTTCTGAAGTACAAATGTAGTGTAGCACATTTAACAAAGATTCTTTTCCGATTTTCTTTGCAATCCCAAGTAGAAGATGCTGTACTCGCAGCCATGCCAAATGATTTTATGATCGCTGTCCCTAACAAATAAGCAAGCAATTCTCTTAATTTGAAGCCCCATTAGACACAATGGGGAAAAAGATAGGCATAGGGAAAAGCCACATATCCCTAAATGGAAAACACTCGAAAAACAATATGAAAAAAAAAATAGTTTCCTGCAAGGTTTGCCATAAAGATCATAGCCATCACATCTTAATTGAAATCGGACAGTTTTTGCATTGGCTGTGTTATGGTGAAAGGGAAGCTCCAGGACCCAAAAGTTCTAAAATGAAATCTCCAGAAGAAGAAAAAATGAGGGGCCATTTTAACCGGATGCAATAATATTTCAAGACACAGAAGCAATAAAAACAGCAGCATTTGTGTTATGATAATTAGAAGATAGGAACAGATCTGGGACTGGAGGAGGAACGGGGAAGGGAGAGGAAGGGGGAAATGACAGCTCATTATGAGGCTGGTAGGCAATACAGGATAATGGAAGGGAACCAGGTGGGATACGCTGGAAAGGTTTACATAATAGAAAAGCAGGAGAAAAACAAAGGTTTATATGTAAAGTTTTTAAACAAATTTAATCAAGTGGGCTGGGGGACAACTGATCAATTCTAGTGAAGGCAGCTTCCTGGTTCTCCTTTTTCCATTCTTTTTGGAATTAACTTAATTTCTTTAATTAACTTAATGTTAAATTCTAACTCAAGAGCAGGTGTGAGACACAGATAAAAAGATACTTTAAATGAATACAGGTAAGTTCACCACTTACAGCCAGAGTTGAGCCCAACATTTTTGTTGCTAAGCAACACAGTTAAGTGAGTTTTGCCCCGTTTTACGACCTATCTTGCCACAGCTGTTAAGTGAATCACTGCAACGTGCTAAGTCAGTAACACAGTTGTTAAAGTGAATTTGGCTTCCCTACTGTCTTTGATTGTCAGAAAGTTGCAAAAGTGGATCCCGTGACCCTGGGACACAGCAATCGTCATATAAGTATGAATCAGATGCCAAACATCTGAATTTTAATCACATGACCATGGAGATACTACCACAGTGATGTGAAAAACAGTCACAAATTAAGAATGAGCTGCAGTGGCGCACTGGTTAGAGTGCACTACTGCAGGCTGCTTCTGCTGACTGCCAGCTGCTTGCAATTTGGCAGTTTGAATCTCACCAGGCTTAAGGTTGACTCATCCTTCTATCCTTCCGAGGTGGGTAAAATGAGGACTCAAACTGTTGGGGGCAAGAGGCTGACTCTGTAAACTGCTTAGAGAGGGCTGGAAAGCACTGTGAAGTGGTATATAAGTCTGCTATTGCTTGGGAAGGAAGGAAGGAAGGAAGGCATAGTGGCAGAGTGGTTAGAATGCAGTGTTTCAAGCTAATTCTGCCCACTGCCAGGAGTTCAATCAAGGTTGACTCAGCCTTACATCCTTCCGAGGTGGGTAAAATGAGGACCCAGATTGTTGGGAGCAAGAGGCTGACTCTGTAAACGACTTAAGAGAGGGCTGTAAAGCACTGGGAAGTGGTATATAAGTCTAAATACTGTTGCTATTGCTATTTTTCTATGTCGTTATAATTTTGAATGGTCACCAAACAAATGATTGTAAGTCAAGACTACCTGTATATATTTGCCACCCAATTGAAACAAAAGTTAGACTGAATGGGAAATATGCTTGTTGAGGAATGTTAAAGATATACATCGTGTGGGAGTCGGGCTATTTTGGTTTTTATTAAATTCAGAAGAAACTAAGGAACGCAGGCAACAGAGGACATTTGTTCATGAACTCTCTGTGCAAAACATGACATTCAGAATGATGGGATGCTAGAAGGAAAGGTTTTGTTCAATGAACTATCCAATTTTGGCAACTGGATGAGAAGGTGTAAGTTTAGGAAAAAAACAAACCAGGGAAAACCCAAGGAATGAGCTGAGAGGAGACAATTACTTTTGTCTTCCTACCAAAACAAGAAAAAAGATAGAAAAAAGATGCCTACGAAGATTCTCCATCCTCCAGGTCACGTTTGTCCCAAAGGTGCTTTTTCCAAAAGGGCAACTGAACTTTCTTGGTCCCCCCCCCCCCCTTGAAAAAGTTTCGCTTCTCATCCAAGAAGCTTCTTCAGCTCTGACTAAGCTGAACTAAAAAAGCTTCTTGGATGAGAAGTGAAATGTTTTCAAAGAAAGAAAAAGCCCGAGAAAGTCTGGTTGCCTTTTGGAAAAAGCACCTTTGGGATAGAAAAAAGAGGAAGGAGGTTAGATCCCAAAGGGACAAGTTAAGTTTTGCTTTGAAGAAGAAAAACAAAGGCTCTAATCTCTTCCTCCCCCCAAAAAAAGTTTTAAAGGAGAAAGTGGGAAAATAAGCATCACTTCTATTAGCTACTCAATAATTCTTCTCCTTCTCCTTCTCTTCCTCCTCCTCCTTCTCCAAGGCGCAGGCCCGCAGCTTGCATATCTTTCTTGATGGTGTCTTGCCATCACTGTTTTGGGCACCCGCAAGGTCGCTGGCCATTGACGTCTAGTTGGTAGGCAGTTTTGGCCGTGGTGGAAGGTGCTGCTTTCTGGACACGACCATACCAGCGGAATTGGCCTTCTCTCATCTTCTCTATAAGTAGTGCCACACCAAAATGTTGTCAAATGGTGTCATCTGTGACGTGGTCAAGAAGGAAGATGCCCGATATGCAACGGAGCATTCACATTTCCAGGGCATGGAGATGGTGTTCGGTCCCTGTTGTTGCTGCCCAGCATTCGGTGCCATACAGTGCAACAGGGCGGATGGTTGTCTTGTAAATCTTAAGATTTAAGACAGGTTGGCATTCGCCTGTCACATTAGCTGCTAAAACGTTTTAAGAAACCATCATTAGCTGCTAAAATGTTTTATGAAAAAGGCAGATGAGCATTGAGTCTTCTGACTCAAATCAGATCAGATCTTTATTACGGAGATAGATCAGCCTTCTGAGTCATCCCAAAGTCTGTCCAGCAGCACAAGACCATGAAGAGTGCAGCCTACATAATACCCAAACCTCAGACGGACAAGCAAAAGGCTCAGCTATTTTCAGACACAGCACCTTGGTTGCAAGGCTATTTTTAGTGGCAGGGACCGCCCAGTTCAAATCCTTCAAAGCTGCCAGTTGGCAAACGGGCAAAGATCCAGAAGCAGTGCAGGCCAAGATATAGGTTCCCCCCTCCCAACTCTTAGGGAGGGGGCCGATATTCTTCATCTTTCTGGTCCAGCCAGAAGAATCCTCCTTCAAATTATCATCACTCCTTCTTATCCTTGGAATACCAAATACTGGACATACATATATCAAAGACAAACAACAGTGCAATCCGTCCTCAGGTTATTACACCAGAGAGACAAGGGCTGAACTGCTCTTAAACCAACCTGCCATCCAGGACAAGTGGAATTATAGACTACTTCTAATTCTGCACCTCCGTGGAGCACGATTGGCCAGAACTGGTAGCATAGTCAGAATCCTTGCCAGGTAGGCTGTTGTAGACTTACAACAGTTCATTTAATGACCATCTGAAGTTACAACGGCACTGAAAAAAGGGACTTACAACCGTTTTTCACGCTTATGACTGTTGCAGCATCCCCAGGGTCACATGGTCCAAATTCAAACCCTTGGCAACTCACTCATATTTATGACAATTGGAAAGAAATGTTTACATCTCAAGACTTCCGGAGATATTAAACTAGTGTTATGCAGTGTCAATACACTGTTATACAGAGAAGAGAACATACAGTATATAAACTCATTATCAACCAGGTTGACCTCAAGGGGTAGATGTGATAGTTATGAGTGAACTCTGGGCTCCCCTCTCAAAATACAGAGCTGAATGGGGAATTCTGGGTGTTGAATTCTAGTACTTTTTGAGCAGTGGTTTTT